AAGCCTTTATTATGTAGAAATTTGCTGAAATTAATTTTGTTGCATACATTTTGCAATAAAAAATAATATGAAAGATTTAATTACCTAAATATTCAGATTTAAAACCAATTCTCTGCAGACATTTCTCCTAGTGTATGCAGTTTGGCGGCTTTTTTGCAACTTTATAATTTAAACGAAAGCCAATATATTACACTTAGTAACAATAGTAAAAATAGAGTAGATACAAGTGGTTAAAACATAGGAAGACAAGTGGTTTTTTAAAATTATACATTAGAAATACTAAAATTCAATGTGACTGTGTTACACTTTACAATTTTAGGTTATTTTTCATGTTAAAGGTTTGTAAAGCTCATTCTAAATTACTGAAGATTAACAAATAACTATAAAAGGTTTCATGTTAATCTTGTCTATAATGATAGGACATGCGATGTTTTGGCTTTTCAGCTTAGTTTTATTGCTTTCTATACCCCACACAATCTTATTATGTACGGTCTATTTGTATGGAACAAATTAATTTTTAGCGTTATTTAGTTTTGGGAAAAACCTGAAACGGATCAAAATTTCTATTTTTAATTTGACAATTTATAGTATCAAAATATTACCCCCTCTGAAATATGAGCACTCCCTCGAAAATATAAGAAAGGGGGTCGTGTGGCCCCATGTTTGAAACTGATTTTATTATCTCTTCGGTAATATAACGTTTTTTAAATTTGTTGCAATCCTAACAGAAAATTAATTTTAAAAATGTAAAATTTTGATGTCTCCATCACAAAACTTTACGTACCTAGAATGACGCAAAGATTTATTGTAAAATAAATTTAAAAAATACACTCTAAATATTATCAAAAGTTTTATGATTGAGACATCATAATTTTACATTTTCAAAATTAATTTTCTCAGTTATGATTGCACCAAATTTAAAAAACATTGTATTGATAATTATTTTTTTTTTTGGCTCTTGGGCAAGGTTATATCCATTTAGCCAGCTGCAAAATATGTTAAGCACACACGGACATATTGGCTTCTGCTCAAGAGCGCGTGTATGGATGTTTATCTCTTTTAATAGATTTTTTTTTCAAGAATAATAAGAACTAATAATAATAAAAAAGTGATTAATATTCTAACCTAATCGACAATACCAGAGTTTTTAAAGAATTGCATGCGGGATGGAACTAGAAATAAACTCTTCACATCCAGGGGTCAGTCAGGGTCACTGACGAACACAGAATGGGTAGACCGCGGTTTGAGGGATTTTTTGTAAGGTAAAGTAACATTGGTGACAAGTCTAACCTAATTCTATTCTGGATAAATAATAAAAGGGCGCCGTAGATCGATAGTTTGTTAAGGGACAGAAGGTATAATAAATTGAGGGGGGGGTAAATTATTCATTTTATGAGGTTTTCAACAAGTTGATCGCTGTGATTTCAGAATTTATTACATCCGAAGAATATATGGTCTAAATCGCCTAGTGTATTGCAAGTGTCACAAAGATTAGATTGTTGTATACCGATTTTTTGCAAATGGAGAGGGTAGCATGCATGTCCAAATTTTAGTCTGCTAATGGTGACTATTTCATTTCTTGTGAGATTTTTGTGCCACACTTCGTTAGGGATAACTGGGTGTAGAAAAGTGTAGCGGGTTGAGGAGCCATTGCACTATGGTTTCCACAAGTTATTTCCAACAATTTTTAAGTATGATATACTGATATTGTTTTCCATATGCTGTCCAGTGTTAATGCTTTGCTTGGCTAGATTGTCAACTATTTCGTTGAACTGTAGGCCGGCATGTGCTTTTATCCACAGGAAATTAATACTGAAGTTTTGGTTTTTAAGCTTGATAATCAGTAATTTTAAGTTGATTATATAGAGATTGTTTTAAGGGCTTATTATGTCTATTGGACGTGATATGCTAGTAAGGACTGACTGTGAATCTGAATTGATGACCGTGTTTTCTATTTTATATTCTTCAACGTAGTTTAAAGCGTTAAAAATTCCTAATGCTTCAGCTGAGAATATTGATTCATAATCGTTTTAAATTTTTTTTGAACCTTCAAACGGGGATGAAGAAAGCACAACCAACTCCATCAACTTGTTTAGAGGCATCTGTGTAGATATGTACATGATCCGGGTACTTTGACAGGTGAAGATTTAGTATATTATTACTGGTTATTGGGATATCACTGTAGGTAGGGATTACTATATGTATTGGTTCTAAAGCCATAAATAATTCATATACATCATATTGAGCAGGCTTATGTACGTAATCAAATAAATTGTGTTTGTTTCTGAAGGAATCAACTATTAGCGGAGATACTTTTTTTGACCAGTATTTGTTTGTCAAATCATATGTATTTAGTAATACAATTTTGTTTATGTTGCAATGATTAGTTATACATGATTTCATAATTTTGTCAGACAATAATTCTCTACAGAGGGGGAGAGGGGGCTCTAAAGCTTCCACACGTAGGGGTTCCACATGGCGCCTATGCAGAGTCTAAGTGAATTATTCTGTACAATGTCCAATCGTTTTAGGGTACTAGAGGTAGCCGATCCATATAGAACACTACCATAATCTATTATGGATCCAATGTATGACCTGTAAAAAGTTAAGCAAGTTTCGGGGTCAGCTCCCCACTAAGTTCTTCTAATCATTTTTAGATTTAAACCTTTATTACATTTATTACATTATCAATATATGGTTTCCAAGTCAGTTTTTTATCTAAGATTATACCTAAGTATGTGACTGTGGGGGAGACATGGTATGCAATATTATTAATCTTTAGATTATCAAGAGGGGGTAAATTGTGTCTTGTAAAAAATTATATAATGGATATTTCTGGAGTTTAAGAGAGGCCTAGTGTATCGAGTTTTTCTGTGATTGAGACAATGGAATTTTTTAATGTTGATGTACAGGCTGTCAGATTTTTATTGGAATTATAAATGACAAAATCATCGGTGTATTGGATTATGCGATGGTTGGTGCAATTCTGGTGTAAACATCTGGTAAAAATGTTAAAGAGGATAGGAGATAAAACCGAGCCTTGCGGCAGTCCTACTGTCACATTTCTAAGTCCTACTATAGAATTATTAGCTGATCGGACGTAATTACAAATTCTTGAAGGAAAAAAAGCACTGAGCAATTTATCTCTGAGAATTAGTATATTAACGTACATTATCACTCCATTTTTCCCGAAAATCAATTTGGCTTTATAAAGGGTTTGAGTACCATTAATGCAGTATCTAATTTGGTTATAGATATTCAAACAAGCTTTTCCAAAAACGATTATTTGGAAGCAGCCTTTATTGATATTAAAGGGGCATATGACTCCGTTGGTATTGATAATTAAAATCCCTTTCAAACAAGGTGCCACATGACCATCTTCCATGTTTAAAATTGAGAGGGTGTTCATAGTTCAGAGGGAATGCAAGAGGGGGCAATATTTTCATACTATAAATTGTCAAATTAAGAATGGAAATCGACTTATCAGTACAAAATAGCGCTAAATATGAATTTATTCCATACATATGAACTGTAAATAAGTTTTGATAATTGGCATTAATGTTACAATTTGTGCACGAATCGCCTAGTTTTACTGTTTTAAAATAAAAACATGTGGTACTTCTAGAGACAGTAGAAATAACACTTGAATATTTTTGGAAATATATCAGAAACACTTTTCTAAATTTTCTTTTAGAATCCAAAAGGTAAGTTAAATTAATTTGAAAAAGAAAAAAAACAGGCTACAATAGACGTTGAATCAAAAATAAGATCAATTTATATTCATATTCGTAATTTCCAACGCATTAAAACAACTGATTAAACAGTTGAAAATATATAAACATATACGTGATGAATAGTCGCTGTATAATAGATCACCTCTCACTTAAACTGTATCGATGGCTTCTCCTCACTTCTTTTGTAGTATCAAAATATTCGCCAGGATGTGAACTTCATACTATTCAAAAATTAAACAATTTTTGTTTCATTGCCACTAATATAACAAACAATTTAAAAATAAGTATTGTGAATTTAAAAATTAATTTCTAGCATTCTTCCTTCCAACTTTAATATATTGAATTGAAATTGAAACTGGTGCTGATTAAGTAACTGTAAATAAGTTATGTTCCGTGGTGGGAAAAGTTGCTGATTAATTATTGGATTATTCAACGCTGTTGCTAGGTACACGCTAAAGTGTACACAAATCAAAAAATTATATACACGCGAAACGTCATATTGCTGTGGTGGGAGGTGTTTGTGTGAATGCGTGTTGTTTGTTTTCATTTACGCCGTGACTAGCAGCTACTCAGCTAGCAGTAGTATTTTATAAACCTTAGAAGCAAATTTCACATACATGAACAAATAATAATGATGCCTTGACAACAAGAAAATGAAGCAACGAATTCTCGTAGGGTGGCGGCTTCGCCGCCACCAGTAATTTCAATCCATTCCTGGCTACGCCGACCGGCATGGACACATCTCACCTACTCTGTCAAGACGTTTCGCGTGTATATAACTTTTTGAATTGCGTACAAGTTAGCGTGTACCTAGACACTGTGATTATTCAACGCGTACATCTATTCCATTTTCAACTGTTTATTTCCTACTCAATAACTCATTAGAAAAATATTAGCCCTTACCTTAATATCTGAATTAAAGGCAAGTATATTAATTTTAACTTAAGTTTAAAGTCGTTGACACGTGTTCAAAAGATATTAATATATATAAAGTGTTTGAAAAAGTAATTTTATAAATAAAATAAACAAAATTCTCAAAGAATTCCTCTCTAAATGATAATAAGAAACCTTTTTTGTTATTGTGAGGTATTTAAAAGTACTTCGATTTTTGCTGTTGTGTTTTATATTTAAATAGATAGTGCTCTGTCAACACATTTACATTCTTTGCTCAGTGCCACTTTTACAGCAAACAAGCGCATTTGCATGCTTTGACACACAAGGCGTTAGTTACCCACAAAGTTTGCCTACCAATAATTTTGTTGACAGAATTGAAGCTCAGTCGCCGAAGCGAATGACATCTAGAAGATTAACACCTTCACTGACAACAAGTACTCCCGAATCGCAGAAGATCGTAGAAAAACGGCAAGTTACGAAAAAACGATTCGTTTACCAAAACGGAACACCGTTAAAAAGTGTAACTCCGGAAGATATTAGAGGCCAGATCAAACGAGGAAAGAGAACTCTCACCATGGAAAAGGAAAAGAATACTAGGAAGGTTAAAGTACTTAGAAGGTCTCACTTGCTCACTCTGAGCTTTAAAGAATGCGATAAAACTCCTATTAAGGTGAACAAAACTCTATAATTTTGTATATCACTTGAATTGCTACTGATGTCAATATCAGGTAAGTCTTTTGACAAAAATGGGTGGTTCTATAAGTTTGGCAGTGTTGGTATCTTGTTTTTTTTAACAAGACTCCAAATTTTTGTGTTATTAATTTCTATATTATTTTCAATTATATTAAAAATTGTCTAATAAATACTAAGTTAAAGTTAACTTGTTGTGATTAATATTCTTTAGAATTAATTTGGCTTAAATCAAAGCTATGCTAAGTATTTTATTTCATACATGGGGCATTTATTAAGAAAACAAGTATTTGTTGGAAAATTTTCCAAGATTTCAAGTGAAAATAGCATGAAAGGTTAATTATATATTTTTTAATATCGGCTCTAATTTAAATGGCGTATATATAGCTTAAATTAGCTTGGGATGAACCTTTCCCAAAATTCATGTACAGGTATATACATTCTATATGTTTTAAATACTTCTGCTTCATTTTAATTTTTCAATTTTTTTTCTGGGCTTCTTTTCTGATAATATTGTAGCATTTGATTGTGTTTTACCCTATGTGAATTCACCTTCATACCTTTTACAAGTAAGATAAAGGTTCTTGGGTCAACCTGTGATTCTCTTATTTCTTCAAATTTTAGTTGTGCTTTCACTTCTTTCAACTATCTTTTCTCTGTCTTTCTGATAATAGGTGAGTGTTTGCCATAGTTTGTAGAATGCATATGGATAAAAAAAATGAATAATTTGCTCTCAAAAGAAGGAATTCTGAGATATATTTGTTACAGAATGTTAGGTCAATTGTAAATTACATTAATTATATCATGCATAATAGATAGATCTAACATTAATCTTCTTTTCTCCAAATTGATTTAGATTAAGTAACTTTAAATTTTCCAAATAATCATACGTTCAGTATAAAAGAACAGTACTTTACAAATTACTTTTCTATTTGATTAATTTAAATTTTTTATTGAGGAGTCCAATCAATGGCACAGTTCATCGTTGTGCAATTGGTATTGACAAAGAGTCTTGGGGATTCGTTTATAAAAGCTTATGGCTGAACATTTATTAGTATTTAAAGAAAGCCCGTTTCTCTGACACCAATTTACTAAATTATTTAAATCTGATTGTAATAGCATATCATTATTTTTCGCTCGTTTTAAAAATCATCAGCGAACACAAGGCAAGAAAAGTATTTAATAATAAAAAAAGGTCTCGGTACCAAATTACAATAAAGAAAAACGAATAATTAAAATTTATGCAATATAAAATTAACACAAGAATAAAACATGAATACAAACAAATAGAATTAATGCAAAAATATAAAAAACATAGAAAGTAATGGTGAAATGGAGAAATCAGGAAAATGAGTGGGATAATCTCATCGCCTTCTACTGCGACCCAGATGGATCTGTACAAGTCACACCTTTTGATGAAGGCCATGGTCGAATTGGGTGAGACTTGTTTAAAGTTGGTAGGCTCCAGTCTGCTAAATCTGAAGATTGGAACCCTGGGTCTTTCCAAAGCGAAGTAGGTGCATAAAATGTTCTGTCTTCAATCCCGTGAAAATGCGCATATCTTTCCTATACCATTCTCGGATCTGAGCAGAGGCGTTCACGAAAGGGTTGGTTATAAACGCTTTCGAATGGGTTAACCCTGGGGTATATCTTTACTTCGTGAGTGTTGCACTCTCCGTCCATTTTGAGATAATTCCATTGGCAGTGCTCTTTGCAATTCCCAGGAATGGTTCTGTTCCTATGAACTCAGATTCGGTTCCTCTTTTAACAAGTGCGTCGGCAATTTGACGGCGAACAACATTTAATATTTCTTTAACTGATGACACTGAAAATTTAGCGAAACGTCAATTTACATATCACTGTTGAGGTATTTTTTGTTGTATTACGTTCAACTCCCTCACCCCCAGGGCACCTACCCCTAAAATTTGAAATGGCAACTCCCACTTATTTCGCTATTTTTGACTTAAAAGATTGAATTATAAAGGGAGAGTAGTTAAAACAAACAATATTACAAACACATCTTTGGAATAAACGTATCTTAAATACATTATATTTTCTATAGAAAAACAATTTTGGTTTAAAAAAATACTTTGTTTTTGGCATACCAAATTAGCAGGCTTTGATTTTTGTCCAAATTTTGTTCTTTTCATTTAAAGAAATAAAAAAACAAATTTTTAACTAGAAATTAGAAATGTATATAATGTGTAAAACAAGTGCATATTATATATGATATACTGAGAGATATTGAATATTTACATATTATGTATTAGTATTGTATAGTTTTATATTATTTTTAAAGCTATTTGAACCGTTTTTGAATATTTTAATTATTTTTAAAGCTACTTGGATCGTTTTAGAATATTTTAATTGTTTTTAAACGCATTGTCGCGGATCTCTAGATTCACTTGCTAGATATTTAAAAAAATAAACGTTTTTTTTTTAGCATTGCTGGATGAACGGCACTGGTTTAAAGCTCTACTTTTTACACTTTACTGTCAATACTATTTATTACAGGAGGGCGATTGCCACTTATTTTTATTTATACATTCTTTATATAAATAGCTATTGTGTGTCATTCTAGAGATCCATGATCCTGTCTGAGAACTTACAGCGTTTAAAAAATTATCTATTTTAATCTTTTATTTTATTCTATGAATATGAACAATTTATAGATACATATATTTTAATAATTATTATATAAACTATCCTCTATCAAAATTACTGTAATGATAATTATATTAATAATTAATATTTGTTATTTCCAAGATATCACATATAGGATCGAATATGAATCATCATTAATCTTATTTTTAGTGACAATGAAAAAACAATTCGTCATTCTAAAATATATCTTGAATTTTATAGAATGGATAGAGACTGCAATAAAATACCACTATGTTGACATCAAACTTAACAGTAGTAAATTTTTGGTGTCGAGGAAGTATTGATATTAAAAAAGAGGTTAAGTTTATTTGCCATAAAAATATTTCCCTGAGTATACTGAGTGCCTCAGTCAGATTAAGACTTTGAAAATTAATTATAATGTATAGGCAGGGTTTCCCACTCGCTCATTGGATTATAATTAACAATAGGGGACGTCTAGCAAAGTGACCACCATCTCACATTTTAGTATTCCTGGACCAAACTTTTCATTATAAAAAAAAAACAACTTCATAGGATTTTAGTACTATTTTGTAGACTATTTTTAATACTTAGACCTACAGCTGTTTTATTGTCCCACAAAAATATAGTTATTTAGAACCTTAAAAGGTGGCCATTGTATTCGTTTTGTCGGCTACTGTGGCTATGTAGCAAGTTGTCTTTATTTTTAAATTTAATGCATGGGGATGGGGACTATTGAAAAAAGAAATACGAACAAAGGGAAATTACTTTACTGAAAGTAACATTAAATACTGAGCACAAGATATGAAAAATAAACAAAGTTAACTAAAAACAACTAGTTAATAATATATGAGGATAAATCTATTGACAAGGTAAATGTTTGCTTGCTGCAAGATATGGGTCGTGCAAGAGCAGTTTTCTATATCTTCTAGCTAGAGGTACACAACTGATGCTTTCTTTGTCTGGAAATACGAGTTGTTTGCTATGCTTTCTCAAAAAATCTATTTCACAATCTCTATCATCATCCAATCTTATCACCTTTCCGACATAATATTTAACTATCTTTTTTTAGGTGACTGTAACAAAAACGACAATTTTATTAGCCGCATTTACTTTATAGTCGCTTTTTATAAACACACATTTATCACACTTCTTGTTAGTAATTCGAAACTATTCTTGCATTTAAGTCTCTTTTCAGGAACAAAAATGTAAAAAAATGTTACTTGATGAGACGGTCGCCTACAAAATGTTGTAACTCGGTCGTATGATCTTTTTTGTCCTAACTTGGCTTCGGCAGCAAATTTCTGATCAGGATCTGTACATAGACTACGGGTAAACCGAACTTGCAGATAGTCCAGCGTTAGAAAGTAAAAATAGACTATTACCTCTGAATTCTTTCGGACTACACCGATTTGAATAAAAATTGTATTTAAGCTTAGTGTACCCTCCTCTTAAAAAGTTATATGTTTCTGAAATAACCTAACCTAGCGCTTTTTATTTTTATGGCTTGAAAACTACCCCTTTTGACAAACAATTTCAAAACCATGTATTGAAGTGTTGCTTGGATTAAAATCATGAAATCCTTAAAAACCACCCCATATGACGAAATTAACAAAAAAGTTAGCAACAGCTTAAAATATTTTAATGGTCTATTTATAATGGATCCAAATCCTTTACTATTCATATTATTATTTTTGGTTTATTGCAACGTTAGAACCCTCAAAAACCATCACATATTACTAAATTTACAAAAAAAATAAATATTTTTAAAATAAAGCGCCTCCCCACCCCCGAAATTAAAATTCTTGTAATCCATGAACCAATGCTAAAAAGGTCATTGGCCCCCCTCTGAAAATTTGGTCTGCCCGCCCTTGTTTCGTGGGCCCATTAAAGACTAAGATTCATATTATAAATTGGACAGGGCGAAGCAGTCTTGCAGATAAATTTGTTGGTATTGCATTTAATATTATTTCACTTCTTTAAAAAAGTATGCACTAATGAATTCTACTCATATATAAAATTAACTGATTCGTCATAATATTCAAACTGTCCAAAATTTAAAATGCTCACAAAAGGCAGTTTGCAACTACCACCAAGCATCAACGTCTCTATCCATTCTATGATTGGTATTTTTAGAATATTAAAGTTATTTAAAATATATATTAAGTATTTATATTCGATTATATATTTTGAATTCGATAACAATGGGGTAATATTTGAGATATTTATATGTTGTATATTGATTCAATGTTTGTTTATAAAAAGTCTAACAATAAAAGTTATGTTTAATGAGATATAGTGTGTTCTAAAAATATACACGGATTTTAAAATCAGAAATGATAAAATGCAAATAATATCAAAATCTATTTTTCTAGAAAAACGATCGTAAGGAATTATTAAATAGTGTTTTTATTTAGAACACATTGTACAAATTTGTATATAGATTACATTTCTTATCTCGAAAACAAAATATATATATTTTGAGTATGATTTTATTTAATTTTTATCTATAAAATCCATCCTGTACTTTTAAAAGAAACGCCTAAGCTGAATGTTTCTGTGTTAATATACTTATATTTTAATAATTATATTTAAAAACTGCTTATGTACACAGTTAGTTGTTAAAAAATTATAAAGTTGTATTTCACTTAATTAAAACAAGATCATTTTATACTAACCCACTCTTTTGCAGGATTTTATATATTTAAATTTTTGAGATAATTTTTTGATTATACCAAAAATGCAGTTTAAATTATCTTGTCCCTTTATGATCAAGATATGTTTGCATGACAAAAGCAGGTGAATAACTTTTAGTTTTTTTTTTTTTTTTTTCATTTTACGTTGTTACAGCTATTGGGGATTTTTTGAATTTTTTTTACAATTCTTCCTCTAGAAAGTCAGTTGTTGTTTCCTTTCCAGTTTTTTCTTTTTGAAAATATTCAGTAAGGGGTTAAGGAGGTATTAGAATGATATCGGCGATATCAAGTTCTCTGAGTCTATCAATTGGAAGATTCTCAGATGACGCATGCATAATATTAAACTTGATTCTAGATATTATCCGTGTATTCTAATTTTGTATTCATTATACAGACTTGCTAAGGAAATTAAGTCCAATTGAATATTAGCCGTCCTCCGTAAGGGTATCACACAAAAATCAGGTCATGCAGATCCTAATGTAGGAGCTTGTAATATGCCAGTTTAAAAGCAGGATGTCCAGCTCTTTCTCGGACGAAGAATTTCTACTGGAATGAATGCGAAGATAGGTGGCATTTATTTTCAGCTGCTATCTCATTTTACAAATTTTCTTTCACATTTCTATTACTGCGAGATTTCAGCAGTTTGTTCCACAACGTACTTGCTAGTAAAAACAGCAGAGATCAGAATGTCAGTAATCATTATACTAGTAAGGACATTTAAACACGGACCAGCTTAGTCAAATCTATTAGAGACGAGTGTTTAGTGAGAGTGAAGTGGAAGTAGTACATATCGTGCACTAGGCGCTGGAACAGCGAAAATAGACTCGCTGTAACTTGGTGTTAGGCGATTTGTTGTCTCACCTCTTCTCTCGGCTGTTTGTGTAATAGATTCTATATATTATCTATATCTATAGCCTAGCGATAACGATACTGAAGACTAATGAGGTTTTGTTGCAAGTTATTTTCAATGAGTTGAAGCGAGAAGAAATTTATTACTTGCGAGATGGAATACGTTTCGAAATGTGGCTTGTCGGTGGCATGTTGGTTCAGGTATGATATGTTTAACTTGAAAAGTATGTTAGGAAATTTATTTGTTTCACGCATGGTCCTATTATACCTTGTTCAATTCATTGTAAAATATATTTCAGTATCTGTATAATAATAATTGAAGAGTACAGGGGAAGAAAGATGTATGTTGAACATGTAGAAGGAAAGTTGTCTACGATAATACGTATCATTAGTTGTAATATTCGGCAAATGAAGATTTTTTTGAAAATCCATTACAATAACTTCTTTGGTTTTGTCTTTTTGAGCCTCGAGTTTAGCCGCTTTTTTATGCTTGTAACAGGTGTCAGCTCTTTTTAGATGTACTTGCAAGCTTCGTAGTTCTGTGTGTAACTGCAATGCATTTTGATCATCATCTGCATTTTGATTTATTTTTCTTTCAATTTCGTCAATTTTTACCTTCAACTCATCGCACGTACTACACGTATCGCATCGTGGGTACCCAAAAGCAATATTAAATTTGTTGAATATTTTTCTATATTTTTCATAAGAAACTAATTTAGCAGGATATTTTTCTTTGTAAATAGAGTACATTTTCTTAATATTGAGCTCAGCAGGTAAGTAAACTTTTGTTGTTTTAGCCAGGCCATAGTGAGTCCTCCTACTCTTAAAAGATCTAATGTGTTCCATGACTGAATCTGTTACTTCTCTCGAAAGTCGATTAGGTCTGGAAGAGTGGTTTCCTCGCATATCTAATGGCGCTGAACCCTTTGATTTAAATCCCCTTTGTAGTCT